CCAATTTTTCTTTTGCTGTAGGCTGGTCGATCTATGCCGCCAACGCCGCCTCAACCTAGACAAGGCTCGTGCACTGTACCAATTTGTCCAAGATCATGAAGAAGAGCTGTCGTGGCTTTCTGAGAAAGAACATCTTTGCCGTCGAGCGCTTGCAAACGGCGATGTAGCGGCAGTTCAGCAGACCACTCTTCTTTATAAGGTATGTGGTTGCCAATTTAATTAGTATTATATTAGGCTAAGAAGCTCGTGCCAATGCTGTTTTAAAATTGCTTAAGTGCCGCGTGTTTAGCAGCTTCTGATTCACCTTGTTTGGATTGACTGCTTGAATAATACTCGCGATAAGAAATGATAATGAGAATATCGAGAATTCTCGGATTCGTATTTTTATTCTTCTTCTTGAATAGCCATTCTAAAACTAGGTCAGGGTTCAAATTATTGGTTGAGTAATTATTCGTCAGGCCTACATCATTAGAAGATTACCTGATACAATTTATTTCTGTGTTAGTATTGGTCGTCATTTAGAAATGAGTCCGATACAAACACTGTTTGTTTTTAAATGGCATTTTAAGGTGTTGTTTTGCTTCAAATGTTCTTTGGAATTTCACTGCATTTTTAAGAATACTGAAACCGAGATGCAGTCTCACTGGGCACGAACAAAAGACATGATGGCCGCTGGAGAACGCCTGATCGAAAATGGACAGTCGCGCGAAGATATCCAGGTGAAGATTTCGGAACAATTTTTCATTAGAAAGCTAACTTTTCTCGTCTTAGTTTTTCGTTCTCCGAATTTTTCACAGAATGGTTTGTTTTCCCTCCATGAAAAACGATGAAGAATTATGCATGCACAAGCAATAAAGTAGGAATAGCAAATATATATGGTTCGTTTTAGCGTCGTATTCAAGCGATGCAGCAAGGTTGGGAACGACTTCGAGCCGCTCATCAAGCTCTTGGTCAGTGGCTGAACGAGGCAAAACAGGCCCAGCAATATTTCCAGGTACGCCTCAAACTTTCTATTGCTCAGTAAAGTACTTCTTTTCTTACGTAATCTTCTCTCTCTAGGATGCTAATGAGGCGGAGTCGGAGTCGTGGAGTCGTGGATCCGTGAGAAAATGCCGCTGGTGAAAAGTGATGATCTTGGTCGTGATGAAGGGGCTGCAGAGTCGTTGCTGCAGAGGCACGCTCGTTTGGAGGAAGAAATCCATGCTTATAGGTCAGCCCTCAGTGCTAATTGTCTTATGAACTGGAGATAGCTGTCAGGAGGTGCTCTGACTGACTGTAGACTCTCTCTCGAGTTAGACTATGAGAAATAGTCCATACCATTTTCAGAGCCGATATTGTTCGACTTGAAGAAATGAGCCAACAACTTGCCAATAGCTCATTCCATACTGCGACAACAAGCAGTCAAGAGGTTTGTTCCAAGTTTTGATGAGTGATACTTTAGCTATCACAGCGTGTTTATGGGGGGATTTTCAGACAGAAGAGGTGTCCGTGCCACAGATTGAAATGCTCTACAAGTACGATGGGAACGGTATGTCCGTTGCCAAAGGTGAAGTCCTCGCTCTGTTAGAACAGTCAACTCCGGAATGGTGGCGTGTGTTGAAGCAAGATGGTACTGAAGGATTCGTTCCGGCGAATTACTGTAGAAAAGTGCCAGGAGAATTGGTATGTCTCATGTTTGCTGCTATGGTAACTGTACTCCACTCATGACAACATATTTTTACTTCTTTTTTTTTCTCCAGTAGACGACCAATTATTGGTTGCATTCGAGCAACTAGAATTTCCTGGCTATTTTTGGCATTCATTTGTGAACTTGCCCTCTATTAGGCGATGTTCAGAACTTTATAGCTCGAGGGGTGCGAACTAGGCAGTCTGGGAGCAATGCCTCCCAGACTGCCATAGTTCACACCCCTCGAGCTCACTAAGTGCCTCACTAAGTCCACGCCAGCTGGCAAATAAGACGACGTCCAGGAGCAACGGGCGCCCCACTAAAATTGCTTGGCTTCTGAGGCTTTAGTTGCCCTGTCGAAATTTTTGGAGCCATTCCCGATAAAACCTTTTGTTCTCTTCTCTGGTCATTTCTTTGACTCGGTTACACATATTTTTGAAAAACTTGTCTCTAT